AATAAACCAGGCCATTCTTCCTGAATGACTAAGTTATTCAAACTATCCACAGTCGGTCATATATTGGAAGTAGATATGAATCAAGAATGTCATGGGTTGGCTTGTAGAGGTCTAAGATGTTGGACAAAGTGGTGCTACAACACTCATGAGTGCTCATAAGTTCTGAGTATTGGATTCAACCCACACTCATTTGAATCACTTCATGGATTTTATCACGAGTGATCATGAGACGATAATATCTTATATTCTTCAAACCTAGAGATATGAGTTGTTACTATGAGTTGGTTATACATTGATTGCATGAAAACGCATTGGTAACTCGATGTTATAAAACGTGCCTTTGTGTATGATTCAACAAGTAGTAGAACAAGCCATACGAGTCGAAGTTTATCCATTCCTTTTACCTTCGGGATAAAAGCGATATCTGTGGGCCCCTCGATGATTTAGTGATGACACATGTGAGTGCTTGGCCAAGCCATGACTGATTTGATTTGTTCAATCAGTCAGTCATCTTAAATCGGAAATCGGGAAACAACAAATGGACAGAGAGAATGATTGATAATCCATGTCTCAGTCCATATGATATCTAGAATGGAGGAATATATGATCCCTTATCTAATGGACAAGTCATTGACAAAGGTCAGAGTTCATCGGCAAGGTCAGAGTTCTATAGAAGCTTTTGAGAGCTACGATTGCTAGTCAGGGTTTGAAGTCATACTCAATAATAACTTTAGACTTATCCAAGTGGGAGACTGTTGGATTAATGTCTAAGTCCATAACTATAATTGGTAAGACTTGACCCGACCCGGCATGGTCCATTTGGGTTGCATGGCATCGGGACAATTGGATAGACAAGATGAGGAAAAAGGATACTAGTGATTTATATTAATATATTATAAGTTCTAATATATTAATATATAATCATATTATTTAGTTAGTATTGATCAAGAATTAATTTATAATTAATTAAGTGATCAAAAGGAACTAATTAAATATGGACTCTAAGATATATGTGTGTGATGGGCCAAGTTCATTTAGGTTGGGCTAAGCTTTCATGGATAGTCCATGGAGTGTTTAACCCATGGATCATATGAAATGAAAGGTCATGGGTATTAGGGTTTAACCCTAATCTCCACACTATATAAAGATGTACTTGGTTGGTGAAATGGGCACTAGTGTGTGTACACAAAAGGGCAAGGCCTATTTCACTAGAGAGAACCAAAGTATCCTTATTCTCAAGGTTATTCCAAGTGTTCATGGTGTTGTGTGAACCATTTGAGGTGTCACACTTGGGGCACTATGCACTCAAGCTTCATGAAGACAAGTTACATAAAAAAAAAGGTATGTATTCTATCTATTTTATTACCCAAGTATATGATATTTGTATGCTAGTATAGGGTAATATCTTGGAAACTTCATATTTGCATGTATAATCGAGAAAACATAGATCCAAGGTATTTAGGGTTGTATGTGCACCATAGGATGTTGTAGTATACTAAAACCCAACAGTTTACGGCCGTAAACCCATGAGTTTACGGCCGTAAACCCATGGTACTTCTACCATTTTGTGTTTTGAAGCTTTATAAGTCATAAAGAAGCATCCTAACTTCAAGTCTAAGCCTTAGGAAGTGATTGTGGCATCATTTCACCCCTTTGTAGAGTTTACGGCCCATGGACCATTTCTCCATGAGTTTACGGCCGTAAACTCATATGGTTCATGGTCTTTTTGATGTTTAAAGTCCTAAGCACATCAAGGATGGGATCTAGACTAGTATCCATGGCTTGGTAAGGGACTAGGGCACACAATGGCCCATTCATTAGGGTTTACGGTCCAAGAACATGTTTGGACCGTAAACACCTTTGATCTTGTGTTTCTTTGTGTTTACTAGTTGATTAAGAAGTGTAACAAGCCTTATAACACACTAGGGTAAGAGTACTTACAATAAAGGAGCTTGAAAGGGTGTTACAAGTCCAAGAACACTAGTGTGTGTTCTTGGTGTTCTTGGTGAAACTAAGAACACTTGAAGATCTACACAAATGGAATGATTTCACGGATGAAATCATGTAAGATCACTAGATCAAGTAAGATATCAACTAATTAGGGCAAGAAACACTTACAAATTTGAAGATCAAGAAGGAAAATCGGATGATACTTGAGAGGATTTGAGTTCTAGTTCTTGAAAATGGTGAAAAAGTGATAAAAATGACTAAGTGTCATATTTATACCCCTTAGGGTTTACGGCCGTAAACACCATGTTTGGGCCGTAAACTCCAAACTCTTGGAGTTTTGAGACTTTATTGCTGCACAATAAACCCTAGGTTATCCTCTCTCCAGTTATCTCCTGAAGTACTAAGCTTTAAACACTTAAACTGACACCAGAAAGCTTAACAGTTAGCAGAAACAGTTCTGACTTCTATTGAAGTGAATGGTTGTACAGAATAGAAATTTCGGGTTGTCACACAAAACCCTAATTGACCTAATGAAACCCTAATGGGCTTAAAGATTCAGTTTTGGGCCTATTGGGCTATGATTGGTTGGGAAACCCTAATTAGGTTTTAGAAAACACTAATATTGGATTGGGGGCCTTGGACTTATTGAGACCCACATTTGGGCCATTGGAATTGGACTATGTATTAAGCCCAATTACAGCATATGATGTATCTAGTAGAGCAGTGAACTTAATGGATTAAGTCTTTAACGGGTTAAGTGAGAAACACTTAACCCTAATTGTCATTTTATGTGAAACCCTAATTTCACTTGGACTTTGAGTTGGGCCTTCCTATTGGGCCTTGGTGATTGGGATAATAATGGACCATCCAAGAGCAAGCAAATGGACTGGAATAATTTAATGGACTTAGGGTAAGGCCCACGTAAGGAGTTTGGGCCCAATTTGGAAAATTGAGCCATAGTTTGGGCCTTGATGATTATGAGATATTGGACCATCAGAATGTCAAGTATTGGACCAAGAATAAATGGTTGGGCCTTGAAGCAAGACCATGTAGAGACTTGGGCCCGATTGGGAAAATTGTGCCATAGTTGGGCCTTGGTTCATTATTAGACTTTTGGGCCTTTGGGATTGGGCCTTGGGCTTGAATCAAGCTAAGTTAGGGGTAAAGCAGTCTTTTACCCCAAGCATGGACTTATGAATATATGTGATGGAACCCAATTATTAATTGGGTGTTATTTTGATGTTGACAGATTCGGGAATATGTCATCCAACAGCTACGGTTTTGTCAGCAGGACTTCAACAGTGTGAGGTGAGTTTCCTTCCAGTAGGAACGAGTCTACGGCCACAATGCCGGCCCGTTTAGATGTTAGTAGTTCCGGACTTTGGTCCGATGCCGGGGGTTAGCCCGATGCAGTTTATATGTTTCCGGACTTCGGTCCGATGCCGGGGTGGTCCCGAGAAGTAGTTATGTATGCTTGATGTGTTTGTGATTCATGCATGTTTATGTTATGTGTTATGTGTTCTGGACTTCGGTCTGATGCCGAGAAAGCCCGATGCAGCAGTTATATGTTTATGTTATATGTTATATGTTTATGCTCATGTTATGTTCAGTTTATTCCGGACTTCGGTCCGATGCCGGGCGGGGTCCGATGCAGTGGGCGGGGCCCAAATTATGTCGGACTTCGATCCGATGCCGGGCGGGGCCCAAATTATGCCGGACTTCGGTCTGATGCAGTAGGCAAGGCCCAATATTTGTTATATGTGTTATTGTATGGTATGTGGTAGTTTGGGGGAGCTTACTAAGCTTCGTGCTTACAGTTTCAGTTTTGGTTTCAAGTACTTCAGCTAGCAAGGGAAAGGGCTCGGGATGATGAGATGGCACACACCATAGTTTTTCTTAGCCTGGGAGTTTACTCTGATATTTTATATGAGATTGTGATATGATAATAGTTTTTATAAGATTTTGAGATACATGTTTCATGATTTTATACTATGGTGATGATATTTATGTTTGTTAAATGATTTTGAAAAATGAAATTTTTGGCTAGTATTTTTGGGATGTTTCAATAATTTTGTCAATTTCTAGAACCGGAATCCGGTAAGAACCGGTCGTTGGAATCGGACCAGATAACTCACTCAGATTTTAAAAGTTGCATAACTCACTCAATTTAACTTTTTTTGACTTGAATCTTTTTCCTACATGTATATTATGATTTGTAGTTAACTTTAGACTCTAAAAACGCTTGATTTGGTTAAACATTGAATGAGTTACAACCCCCGCAAGGAAGGGTGTCAAATCAGATATTTTTTTTATGTTTCAGCAATTAAATGTAATATGACTTTGTTGTTCAAATATGCATAACTCACTCAATTTAACTTGTTTTGACCTGAATCTTTTTCCTACATATAGATTCGGATTTTTAGTTAAGTTTAGACTATAAAAATTCTTGATTTGGTTAAAAATTGAATGAGTTACAAGCCCCGCAAGGAAGGGTGTCAAATCAGAATTTTTTTATGTTACACCAATTAAACATAATCTGACTTTGTTGTTCAAATGTGCATAACTCATTCGATTTAAGTTTTTTTTGACCTGAATCTTTTTCCTACACGTAGTTTAGGTTTTGTAGTTAAGTTTAGACTATAAAAACGCTTGATTTGGTTAAAAATTGAATGAGTTACAAGCCCCGCAAGGAAGGGTGTCAAATCAGAATTTTTTTATGTTACAACAATTAAACGTAATCTGACTTTGTTGTTCAAATGTACATAACTCACTCAATTTAAGTTTTTTTGACCTGAATCTTTTTCCTACACGTAGTTTAGGTTTTGTTATTAAGTTTAGACTATAAAAACGCTTGATTTGGTTAAAAATTGAATGAGTTACAAGCCCTGCAAGGAAGCGTTTCAAATCAGACCGGTTCCAAAATCGAAAACCCGACAAAAACTGGACCCGGAACCGGAACCGGTAGAACCGCCGTGCCGGTTCGGTTCTTGATTTTGGCCGAAGCCGGTTCCCGGGTCGGGCCGGTTCCGGCCGGTTCGGTCCGTTTGCTCATGCCTAATATTGACGATGTTATGGACAAACCTTCTGTTGCTTCTTCAATGTTCACAGCTTGGATGGAGTGCAATGTAGTTAATGGTGATGCACAGAAACTTACATATGTTGAATTTCCTACAAAGTTTGTTTGGAAACGTGGTGATTGGATCTGGAAGCCACGGGAAGTGGGAAAGTGCAGTGGTAGAATTCATTTGGTTTCACCTAATCTAGGGGAAGCTTATTTCTTAAGGATTTTATTAAATAAGGTGAAAGGTTTGAAATCATTTGAAGAAATTCGCACAGTAAATGGTGAAGAATATTCTTCTTTTAGAGATGCTTGTTATGCTCTTGGGCTCTTGGATGATGACAAGGAATACATCGATGCAATCAAAGAAGAAAGTCATTATGGATCTGGTATTTACCTACGATTCTTATTTGCTACATTGTTTGATGTGTAACAGTATGTCTAAATCGGAGGTTGTTTGGGAAAACACATGAGAATATTTGGCAGATGGAATTCTTTATAACCAATGACAGAGATTCAAGTCTCCAGGTATTAAAGTTTATTATTATTATTTATTTTTTAAACATACATTAAATAATATTTTAATTATAAATAAATATTGTTAATAATATTTCTAATTAGTTTGATCTTTGTCCTCCGGACTTATCACTCAATGAAGATCAGCTTAAGAGCTTAACTTTGTTCGAGATAGAACAAGTTTTACTTCGGAACAACTCCAGTCTCAAAAGTTATAAAAACATGCCTTTCCCGGACGTTGATTATGTTTCTTCTTCAAACAATCGACTTATCACTGAGGAGCTTGATTATGAAATTTCTGTTATGAAGATTGAGTTTGATCGTATGTTTCTTGCATTGACAAATGAGCAACATCACATTTTCCTTGATATCATGAGTGCAGTTAAAGAAAATAAAGGAGGTATCTTCTTTGTTTATGGTTATGGTAGAACTGGTAAAACTTTTTTATGGAAGACAATATCTGCAACAATTAGATGTGATTGTCATATTGTTTTAAATGTTGCTTCAAGTGGGATTGCTTCATTATTATTGCCCGGATGTAGAACCACACACTCTCGATTTATAATTCCATTTGAACTAACAGAGGATTCTGTTTGTAAAATAAATCCAAATAGTGACCTCGCTAGCTTATTGAAAAAAAAACCTCATTGATAATTTAGGATGAAGATCCCATGGTCCATAAGCATGCATTTGAAGCTTTAGATCAAAGTTTGAAAGATGTATTTAGGTCTGAAAATTCTAGCAAGTCAGATATTCCGTTTGGAGGAAAGTTATTGTTTTTGGAGGAGATTTCAGACAGATTCTACCTGTTATTCCGGGTGCGAGTAGACAAAACATTATTAATGCTTCTTTAAGTTCTTCATATTTATGGCAACAATGCAAAATCCATAAATTAACAAAAAAACATGAGGCTAGCTGTTGGAAGGGATCAATCTGATATAGAAAAAATCAGAGATTTTGCAGAATGACTGTTGGATATAGGAAAAGGCAAAGTTGGTGGTATCAACGATGGCGAAACGGTTATTAATATTCCGAATGATATTCTCATTAATGATCCACATGATCCTATAGGTTCATTAATCGAGTTCATATATCCTTCGATTTTGGAAAAGTACAACAATACAAGCTATTTTCAAGAAAGAGCAATACTTGCTCTAAAGAATGAAGTGGTTCAGGAAATAAATGACTGTTTGTTATCGAAGTTTCTAGGAAATGAGGTTGAATACTTAAGTTCAGATAGTATATGCCAATCTGAATTTGTCCATGATCAGTTTGATGCAAATTTATATTCACCTGATGTTGTTTTAAATGGTCTGAAAGTATCGGGTTTACCAAACCATAAGTTAGTTTAGAAATCGGTGTTCCGGTTATGTTGCTGAGAAATATTGATCAGAAAAATGGCTTATGTAATGGGACAAGACTCCAAGTGATATTATTGGGCAAACGTGTTATTGAGGCACGTATCGTATCTGGAACTAATATTGGAAACCACACTTTTATTCCAATAATGTCTTTAACTCCATCAAAAAAGAAAATTCCCTTCAAATTCTAAAGAAGACAGTTTTCATTGGATGTATGTTTTGCAATGACCATTAATAAGAGTCAGGGACAATCATTATCCAAGGTTGGTTTGTTTCTCAAACATCCCGTGTTTTCACATGACCAATTATATGTTGTCTTATCTAGAGTTCAAAGTAGGGACAGATTAAAATTGTTAATCTTAGATAAGGATGGTAGTCTCACAAATAAAATTTCCAATGTTGTTTATAAGGAAGTTTTTGGGAATTTATAAACAATATTTTTCTACCATCTTTTATGTAGTTTTCGTAAATCATACTTCATCCATCATATTAATTAATTAATTTATAATACTTTATTGTATTTGATTTATTCATGTTAATTACAATATTACTATTCTTCATTTTTTCTAAACTTTGATATATTTTTTTATTAGACAATCAAAAGTTTAATTTTATTTCAAATTATCAACCGTGGATTTCCACGGGTTTAAACCTAGTCGACTATAATAAATGAAGATCAATTTTGTCACATGTCATTTTTTTATGAGTTTTGACATTTGACTTTTTTGTGATATTTTTGAAAAATAAATAATATCTACACGTAAATTTTTGGGTTTTTTTTAATAAAAAGCCACATAATTCTTGTATTTTTATATATAAAATATTAAATATAATAAATATGATAAAAAATTATAATTAATATGTTTTCTTTATTTCTTATTTTATTTTAAAAATTACTTATTGTTACCTGCTCTTTAATATTTAATTTTTTTAATCACTCCGAATTTTACACCTAATTATGTTATATATAAAAATGAAAAATATTAATTTCGTTAACAGAACCATCAAAATATAGCGCCCCATCAAATGTTGTCGATATTTGTTAATAGATGGACTTTTTACTTTTTATATATTTTGAAATCCAAAATATACCCGTTAGAAAAAGGCCAATGAACCACATTTAAAACTCATATCCCCACTATCGATCCCCCGACAATAGTACATTCGCTGCCTGGATCCCTTGTCAGATGAAAATTATTTTAAAAATTATTTAATTTCAATATCTCCATAAAATAAGAGATCCCATTATCTTCGGTAATTTCCTTTCCCAGAGCTGCCATAACCAAATCCAGATTCACCTACAACTCTCAATGCACGAAGTACACCTAATCATCAAATCTTCAGATGGGCTTCACCGGTTTTTCTCTGGACTAAAAGATTTACCTTTTCATTTAAAGTTTTAAACCCATTCACATACCCAATACCCTCCCTCACCCACTCACTCACACTCCCTCTCTCTAGTCTCTACCTCTTCATCTTCTCCAAGCTTCTTGCTCTTCGGGTTCTTCTTCAGCACAACAATGGCTACTCGGGTTCTTCTTTTTCTGCTCTTCTCCTCCATGGTCGCTCACTCCAGTAAGCATTTCTTTCTTTCTTTCTTTTTGTTTCCGATTTCCAAATTCTAAATCTTCTACGTAGTGAATCGAAAGTTGTTCTTCATGTTGTAAGACTTATATGTATAATATATATGTATGTATGTATGTATAGGTGCATCATGGTGTGTGTGCAAAAAAGGTGGAAACGATAAGGTATTACAGATGGCAATAGACTACGCCTGTGGAAATGGCGCAGACTGCACCCAGACCCACCAAGGCGGCAAATGTTACAACCCGGACACCGTCATCGACCACTGCAACTACGCCGTCAACAGCTACTTTCAGAACAAACGTCAGGCACCGGAGGCCTGTGTCTTCAATGGTGCAGCCATGGTGGTCAACGTTGACCCCAGTTAGTCTTCTTCTTCTCCCTTATCTATACATTACACACACAACTATGTGTAATTTTTTCTTTTATTTTATTGATAATTATCTCTTTTTTTTGGGTTGTTTATGAACAGGTGCTAATGGGTGTACGTATCCTACTTCTGCCAGGTATGTAATTGTAGCCAAATGCCTTTCTTTAATAGGAAATATTCAAGAATATTATTTTATTTTTAATGTTAGTAATAGAAAACCAAATGGCTTTAATAGGAAATATTCAAGGAAATTAGTTTATGTTTAATGTTAGAAGTATACTTGAATTTGGAAATATGTCCATAAAGAAAACCGCTTTTTGAGACAATCTAAGTTATGAGCTTTATCAACTTTTGACTTGTACCATAATGTCTTTTTGTGCTTAAACGAGTTGTACGGTTCCCATTATCATTCAGAGTATCCAATGTGCGTTAACTGGTATTGCACCTTGTCCTTCCCGAGTTGTACACTCCCACGGACAAAACATAACTATGAGACAGACCAATAAATACGTGTAGCAGATCAATACCTCTTCAATGTCGTACGTTATGCATAGTGACTTGTACGTTGATATGTGAAATTGCATCATGTAAATAATGAATCAATTATTGAAGTTATCAAAATTCAAAACAAACCAGAACATATATCTTGTTATCACATACATTCACCGACAATATTGCTATTTTTAGTTGTACTGTACAAGTCCGTAATGCATTCACGAGGTACAACTTATTATAACAGGCTTGATAAGATTTGACCAATCTTGTTTTGTCCATGAAATTTGTAAGGGTTAGAGATAATATCAAAAAGTAAAAGCTAAAGTAATAATGTTTGTTTTGTCTTCGATCGAAAATAAAGTCGGTTCTTTTTCTCAAAAGTAACTTGCAACTTTTGTTGCATGATATACAACTATTTATAGCAATATTTGAATTCATTTGTGTATTGCTTTACGACTTGTACTGTAACTGTGTGGTGACTTATTGATTGGTGGTGATTATGTATGCAGTGGCAGTGGTACAACGATGCCAGGTGGCAACACGAGGACACCAGGTTCCACCACTGTGACGGCGTCAGGCGGCAGCACAACCACTCCATATGGGAACAACCCAGGCAACACGGGGGTGTTAGGTGGCGGTGTTGGGTCGGGTTTGGGTCCAACAGGAGGTGGTATGAACGATGTTAGCGGTGGTGGACGGCGGAGGAGTTTTAGTATGTTGGTGTTCGTGGTGGGTATTATTATGGTAATGATTTTGTGGGGTTGATTTTGATATTTTGATGAGTAAGTGGGTATGTACAAGTGGGTAATGCATGTAGAAAGGTACAAGTGGGTGATGCATGTAGAAAGAAAGAAGGCATGCATGTGGTTGTAGACTTGTATTATTTTCTATATGGGGTTGCTTTTTTAGGTTAGGGAAATGTGTATGGACAAGCTTGTATTTGGCTTTACTATTCCCATTGTCTGATTTGGGAAACTAATGAGGGTCTATATTCCTTTTTGGTGGTCATGACTCATGTGATCTCTATCTCTCTCTATCCCTCCCCCGTCTATTTGTTCTGATTTACCTCACATGTGTAGCTGTGCTGCCAGACTGGCAGTATTCGGCGGATTCAATATATTATCACTTTCTGCATTGAATGTCATAAAAAACTAAATTGTAAAACTAATTAACAAAGTTTTTGAAAAATTTTGTTTTAAATAAAAAGTGTTTTAAAAAAATATCAACTAAAGAGAAAAAATTATACGAAGTTTATAAAAAAAATTACATATAGGTTTCAGCCATTCTATAAAAGACAAACTGCACAGTGCACACCGATAATTTACAAATTGTAAAAATATGATATGGTGTTCTTAGATTGCAAGTCTTTCGTATACAAACTGTGCTTTATTGACTTGTAAAACTACAGATGAAACAGGCATAATAGCCGTAGGGCCCATACCATTTGTGATTTTGTTTGTTCACTGTACAAAAATCGAACAATAAACCTAAAAATAACTACCAGCTTTCAACCTAAAACTAAATATAATATATTCTTACTAACAAACGTTGTTAGGGAGGAGGGAGTCATTACCTCTTAACCCACTGTCACATTAATTTTTGTCTTTTATTTTTGTTCATCTTTTCAAACCCACAACATACGGAAATCTTATGTTTCTCAACCCACTTAATTAAAAAAAATACAAAACAACTAAGATACAAGTTTTAAAACACATGGTACAAGAGAAAATAAGAGAGATGATGAAATGGGTTAGTAAAACCAATTAAACAACCCGCTGAAGAAGGATCTGTACCGGCGGTAACTCTATTGTTAATTAAGATTTTACCTTGATTGTTTTGTATTTTTTTTAATTGAATGGGTTGAGTGAGTTCAAAAAGATAGAGTTTTCGAGTGTTGTGGGTTGGGAAAGATAAATGAAAAAGAAAAACTGATGTGGCAGTGGGTCCATTGGGTTGGGAGAGAATGACTCCCTCCTCCCTTAGAAGGAAATACGGTTTCAGCCATCAAAGATAATTTCTAAAGTTTGAAAATGAAAAATGAGGTTAAATTTTTGTTCCGAGTTTAAATATATTGGGGTACCACAAAATCACAACCATTAAACGAAAACGTAGTCGAGGGCATGCCGTCTTCAATTTCATTGGCTAAAATGGTCATTTGTTTAATTTTAGGCTATTCCTCAATGTTTTAAAACTGATTCGAACCGGTCAGATCGGGAAACAGAGACGAAAGAAGTTCAACAACGATCGATTTTTATGCGAATATAGGCCATAAGGTTCAAGTGGGTTTTTATCGGTTCTATCACACATGTTCAACCTGCTTTCTATTTCAAACAAATAGTCATTACATGAGAGAATCAAAGTAATCGAATATCAAATTGTATTTCAAACAAATAGTCCATTACATCAAAGAATGGGAGCATATAGTTCATAATTTGATGTGGCAAAATAATTAATGGAGATGTAAACCAAGTAAGTTTGAGTTCTCCTCTTAGCCTTTAAAATTATTTATACGAAAATTTCGTAAAATATTAAACCGTAGCTCACGCTTTGATTGCACCTCTAAAGCTATCAACTAAGTTGTGTTTCCATAGGACCTAGGAGTAGAAATGTTACTCCATAGGAGTAACATTAGAAAATCATGGCATCTACAACGTAAAACTTTTTGTTGATGCAATCCCTTATGGAAAAAATTACTTCAATCGGATTTATATATGTTTTTAAGGAGTGAAAGAGGGTTGGAGATCAAGGTGTAGAAGGATAATTAACCTTGTTGTTGTTTTCTGAAAAGTTATTGTTAGAGCATCCACATCGTTGGTGGTGCTTACAAGTCTTTCAAATGCCATGTGGATATTAAATGTCATTGTTTAATTAAAAAATTAATATATAACAAATGGTTGAAATTTTATCATATTAATTACAAAAGGCATAGCCCATGTTTCTTGTAGAGCACCTATATTATTGATTAAAATAATGATATATAACACTTGCAAGACTTTCACAAATTGAAAGACGAGTACAAGTGGCATTAATTTTTTGGTGAGTGGCATTGTAAACATTAACATTTGTCAAAATGTTAAACACTGTAGATAAAAGCACATCAAACTACAGTGTTTTTCACTGTATTTTGAAGGCTTTGTTCCATGCTTCAGTGCTTCTCCCGTACTCCCTCTTCACCCACTATCTCTTCAAAACTCTTTCACACGCTTCCTAAAGAAATTCATGAGTTCTTTGCATTGTGCTTGAAAGATTTTTTCCTGTACTCCCTCTTCCCCACCATCCCTTCAAAAAGTTTCACACACTTCATGAAGAATCTATCTGTTCTCACTCAAAGAACCTTCGTCGTCACCCCTACCACCACCATTCACGTCGCCGGTCTGGCGAGTCCAGGCATCAGGAGTCATCTGAGTGGGAAACTAAGGCCAAGGTCTTCAAATGTTTGTGAACAGGATAAATTATTACCAATCGCGATCAAATGAGTAAGCTCTCTCTCTCTCTCTCTCTCTTCTCTCTCTCTCTCTCTCCATGCTCGCTTAGGGTTTTGGATTTGTTGGTCATTGTCTGATAAAAAGATTGAATTTTATATTACATGAGTGTTCTTTTGTTCTTTTAGATCCACATACCTAGCAAGGAACGAAAAGCCGATTTTATTTTGTTCTTTGAGACCCATACAGGTAAAGATCCCTTACATTTTTTAAATGAATGTTAGTAATGGGTTTGCTAATCTATGTTTCTTTCATTTTTGATTTTTGATATATTTTTTTTTCTGTTTTGACCAACACCATCCTGAACGCCATCAACACAACCATGTTGCTGTTGGCGAAGGTTGAGAGGAAGTTGAATCAGTCCCCATGTATAGTTATATACCTTTTTTGATCCTCACCCAAAACTCACCTGAACATTTTTGTGAACAAAGGTAACTAAGAACTCTTTTTTTTGCAGCATTGACCTGACAAACATGAGGCCTATTAGGGTTATTTGATGACTGATTGTCAAATTACATGACTGAAACATTTTTATTGGAATAGAAACTTATATATTGGTTTATCCCATTTAAGGGATACTTTACAAGGAATGAAGATGAGGAGGAATTACCAATTTTGGGGATTTCCTTTATTACCCCTGGAATCAAGAATCCAATGAAGGGAAATGGTTACTAATGTTATTCAATCAAATGTAAACATTGCACCCGTCAGCCTCAGCCACGACAACAACAAACGTCTAGGAAGCAAAGAAGATGTTGTTTTTAAATGATCTTCAACAGCGTGGAGGTAGAGGTTCAAAATGTTAGTTCTTGAAAAGTAAGTATTTTTTATGCTAAAATGTTAGATTTTAACTGTTTTAAAGTTATTTAGAGACATTTCATAGGGTATGATTTTTGGATCATAGTTGCAATATGTGAATCGGTACTTAGTTGTCTAAAGATTGGATTATATGCTGCTTTAGGATCAATATTTCTTGCATACATAATTGTTAATCATCGGTAGTTCATGAAAACCGTACGAAATTTGATTTTCATAAGAGGAAATAAATATGATTAATCAAGATAATAATAAGTCAATATTTGTTCCATTTTTCTTGCATTTGCTACTCCCAAGCAAATTTGTGATCTTATGTGAGTTAATGGTCTCACCAATGATGAAGTCAAAAAACATTTGCAGGTGAGTTATCTATCTACTTTCGGTAAATTTTCTGCAATTTATATGTATTTTACAAAATGCTAAATGGTTTTTTTATTATCAGTTTTAGAAATATCGTTTTTTTTCTTCATAAATGAAGACTTCCATCCTCAAATTCATATGTTGTTTCTTTATTGACCCAAGATTCCAAGATCATTGATCCTAAAAGTTCAAAGATGGTCATCAATTAGGCTCTCCTGATGGGCAATTACACCACTGCCGGAACTTTCACTATTGGCGGTACAGTCGGCACCTCCATCGCCACCGGAGGCTCTGCATGGATGGTTTTGAAAATGAGAAATTTAGGATAATTGATGGAAAAGTCATCTTCATATATCTGGAAAAGATAATTATGATTTACATATCTTTATAAATAAATAACTATATCACGCGATTAATTAATGTTAAAAGAGCTTATAAAAGTTAAAATGACAGAAAAAATATATATAAAGAAAGAGTGAAATTTTACAAGCTTAGTTTTTTTTTTTTTTTTTTTTTTTTCCTGTTTTCTTGATTTTGGTTGATGGCACTTTCTTGGGTTTTTGGTTTCATATGAGATTACATTTGTATTTTGAGATGAAGAAACATGATGATTTAACAATCCCATGTTAAAGCATATTATTCCGGTATGAAATCTTGAATCTTTTAGGTCCCACAAAAGGCATTTTGGTAATTTAACAGTGGGAATGTGTGTGTAACAAAGTTACATAGACAGTGGGAAGTTGATGATGAGATTGAATGAAGGAAAAATAAGGTTTGATGGTATGCAGGTGCAATGCAAAGAAGAAATAGAAGAGAAAGAGAAGATAACGAGCAATTGTTGGAGATGGTGTGATATGGATACAAATCTAATAACCACAAAAGAGAACACACCTAGACCATTCTAGAAGAATCAGGAGGGCAAATCAAGAAAGTGGCTAGTGGTGGTTACTGAGAGAGAATAGAATAAAAGGGGAAGGAATATTTCATTTATGCATCATGATGTTATTTGTTATGTTTGTATTGCCTCTTGAGTATTATGCTTTGTGAGAGAGGGACCATCCATGGACAATCTTCTAATTGAGTTTTACTTTTCATATTATCAATTCAAACATTCATTCCTTACATCATCTTATAACTTCTTACAAGTTCTTATTCTCCTGTGACATTCTATTTCTTATTTGCATCATGGTGACATTGATGCAACCATGGTTGATGGTCTAAGGAAGGTACATTGATGCAACCATGGTTGATGGTCTAAGGAAGGTAACATACTTGCTTCACTCACTAACATGACATTTTTTATTTGTTTTTGTTATTTACCAAAAAAAAAATGCAACTTTTTCATATTTTTCAATCAAACAAATATTTTTATCATTCTTGATTTTGGTTCCTGCCTAAAAATTTGATTTATCTTTTTCTTGATAAACAAATAATTTATACATTTTCTCAACAGATAAATATTCCAATTAACTTACACATAAAGGTGAAATGTTTTGTTTATTGTAACGAAATGATATTAATGAGTTTCAGCTTTGAATTTAAGATAGAGATAACATGATTAATGAGTTTTAACCCTTTTTTGACTTATGTACTGATGAAAAAAAGAAACAAGTCGTAGTAACTCTCTAGGAGTTAAAGAAACAATCTAATATAATATTAAAATAGAATACCACAATTTGTATTTGATTTCTTTATTCTTTTACTAAAATTTTAGATTTTATAAGGAAATTTTACAATGATGCAACATGAGATGGAGTCCCGATCATTACCTTCAGCAAGTACTTCAACATCTCGGAAAAGAAAATAGACAATGATGGCATGCTTTTAGTCGGTCAACCATTTTGTGGCTTGGTAGCTGGAATCAAAACCCCTAAACATGTGAGTAAATTTAGAATTTAAATTTGGACTTGAAATTAAGGGTATGTTTCTTTTTTACTCCCATTAAGTCATGTTTGGGTAATGGTAAGTGTATGAATGAAATCATATTTCCATTATACCCTTATATTCCAAATAACAAATTCACAATGTTTGTCGATTTTAAACTGAAAGAAGTTAGGAGGAAAAAAGAAGAAATCAAATAGGTAAAAGGTTAGCGTCTTAATCCGTTAAGCCAAGTTTTATGGCTTAACCCGTTAAGCTATTATGTCCAACTAAGTCAAAAGAAACAAACATGTATATTTGTCCAAATTAAGTGTTTTACCCATTTGACACATTTGGTAGGGGCAAACTTCATGTGGAATGTGTTCAAATAATTTATCCAAATAAAGAAAGTGATGTAGGTACATGAGAGAACTTATTTGGGACGAAATTAAGAGGCAGATGACAATAACTTTTGTGAGATTGTCACAGTTTGACTACCAATTTGGTCATTGTACTATATTTTATTATTAGTAAAATATGAAAAGTACATTTATATTGTAGGTAAGGCATTATAAGTGCATCTAACCTAAACTTCAAAAGAACATTGCATCAAAAAAATTAATTATTGCTTAAACTACCGCGCAACGCGCGGGCTTAAAACCTTGTTGCAAATAAAATTTGAAAGGACCGATGTGGGTGGTCTTAGGGTGAGTTAGTTTGTGTTGTGGGTTGGGATGCTAACAATGACATATTCTCAATTACTTCAGCAATTGTATGTGTAGAGAACAACGAAGATTGGAAATTGATTTAATGAGAATCTTATTTAAGATTTGAACATTGCAATTCAAGGAAATGGTCTAGTTCTGATGTCTCATCAACACAAGGTATGGTTTATTTTGTTATTGCATTTCAAAACATTGTTTGTCATTCTAACTTCGTGGTGCTATATATGTAGGGATTGGATGAGGCGGTGAAGGTCTTACCGCAGCAAAACACAGTCAGAAGCTTGGAGAATAAGGCGGCATATTCAAAACGGCGTCGTTTGATCCACGTCAAAGCTGACGTGGCTTAATTTGATTATGTGGCGCTATTAACCGGCTAAAGGAGGTTCATGTGGCTAAATGGACATGTCACAAACAACTTTGTTCCCTCATAAAACACACAAATAACTTAAGGGACTAAATAAACAAATTCGGAATATATTGTTGGGCTAAAGTGTCATTTTCCTTAAATTTTAAGGATCTAATCAAAACATATATGTTATAGACATGATACACATACATGTCAACATTTCCGAAGTGGAGAACTATAAAACAAGATTTAAAAAATATATCAAAAATATTCTACGAATTCAAGGTGGTGTTTGTTTTTTGCCTGCAGATCTGCGTGGACATGTCACAAACAACTTTGTTCCCTCATAAAACACACAAATAACTTAAGGGACTAAATAAACAAATTCGGAATATATTGTTGGGCTAAAGTGTCATTTTCCTTAAATTTTAAGGATCTAATCAAAACATATATGTTATAGACATGATACACATACATGTCAACATTTCCGAAGTGGAGAACTATAAAACAAGATTTAAAAAATATATCAAAAATATTCTACGAATTCAAGGTGGTGTTTGTTTTTTGCCTGCAGATCTGCGTGGCCTCTTCTGTCTGCGCCGCGCAGACCACGCGCAGATATTAGCCTTCGCAGACTGTTTGTTTTTTTGAAGATTGCAGACCTAAAAATGTCTGCGCGCCCTCCCTCTTCTTGGCGCAGATATGGACCAGAGTCTTCTAACATCTTCAGACATCTTCTAGACTAAAAAAACACATATATTTATATTTTTTTTCAGTTTTTTTTTAATTTATATTTTTTTCAACTTTATTAATGATAAAAAATTTGAAAAAAAAATTACAAAACTTAAAAAAAAAACGTTCGACGATACAAACATGATATTTTTGACAAATTTATAAATAAAGATTTATTATAATAATAGTCATTGAAGTTGTTTATATAAATACGAAAAAAAATCATAATATATTCTTATATTTTTTTGCTAAATTTTGTAAAACATTATTTAATACACTATCGTCAATTTCTCAAGAAAATATTTATGCTACGTTTTTAATGGATTTAATTGAAAAAATCGAAGTTTATTTCCATCCATTTATGTATCAAATTCTTTGATCCTTAATTATAATGTTTAGTTATAACTTTGCAACCAAAGTTGTTGGTTTTTATCAAATATATACGTTAATTCATACCATTTTTATTTTTATTTTTTATACAATAATACATAAAAATTGATATAGATTTGTTAATTATTTATAACAAAGTCATAAAAATATTAAAAAACACTTTAAAGTTTAAAAAAATCAGTTTATTTAGATTTCAGTTTATTTTAGTATCCCGCAGATGTTAAAAAAACAAACATCTTCTTTTTTCAGACTGCAGACGTTTGGTCCACATCTTCTACTGCAGAGGTCTACAGATGTGGTCCGCAGACTGCAGACATGTTGCCTCAGAAAAAACAAACAACACCCAAATGACTATTGCAACCTTATGTTTACTTTCTAGAGCTTCAATTACTGAAGATACGTATAACAAGATATATATATATATATATATATATATATATATATAGGGTAAAACAAACTAAAAGGGTAATGGCTTTTAAATTTATATATGGGTAAAACAAACAAAAAGGATAATGGTTGTTTGATATGCATCTTATTGGGTCTGAATCAGATTCATTCGGATTAAGACTGTTTAATACCACAATTAGTTGGATTTGACTCGGTCCTATAGCCTCTATTATGCCTCTTACCGGATCCGATCAGAAGCTAGGTCTGACTCAATCACAATCAGATCTTGACTCATTTGACTCAGGCAACTATCATAGAGCCCCAAATGACAAACATTTCTGTCAAACAAGAAATAAAACTTGTACCTTTTGATACAGATCAATGAATAAGAGATCAAAATAAACATCATTGAATACAAAATCATTGGTAGCAAATAAATAAACCACAAGGTTCTTCCTTTACCTTTTTATTACCCTTTTTAATCTGGGAACTCTATCTGTTATTTAATTAGCAAAAAATGTAACAAAAACAATTAGTACATACCTCTCCATGAATGCCACTTCAATTTCAACTGAAACAACAATGGAGGAACACCCAAAATCCCCCGATTTAGCCTCGAATCAAACACATCAAACCCAACTCGACTCAAAGAATCCAAAATCACTTGTGAAGGGACAGCTGGCAGAAGTATTGACCTAGCTTCTTTAGGCACTGATTCAGTCAAAACACGAGCTTTCTGCAAATGGGCATTAGCCATGGATGCCATATCAAAAACCGCATCACTCAATCTCTCACGTGAATCAGTTCTTATTTCCACCCTATCTCCATCTTTAACTAACAACCCATGTTTTTCAGCCACCTTTAATGGTATATAAGAAAAGTTATGGTTCCTGTTAGCATGATAAGGAAGAGACTTTATCAGCAAAAGAAGACCACTTGCTTTTCCTATATGTGAAGCTGCATGATCTGCAGTTGTTGATGTTATTCCACCTGCTTGAAGAGTTGTATAAAGTAGAGTTGATGATGTATCTTCAGCATATTTCTCCAACTCTTCAATTGTTTGATAGATGTCATCAACATCCCTTTGGGCATCATTTATACGAGCTTCAACAGATCGTTTCAACCAGTTTTTGCTGATTTTTTGATCAGATAGTACAGATGCGAGAGCTTGAGCAGTTGGGTGTTCGATGGTTTTGTTCTTGAAGATCTTGTCAATGGCATCTTGCCACCATAGAAGACGCATTAAGCCAATTTTCGGGTCTGAAGCAACATCCATTGCTCTTGATGTTTCAACATTGAAGGCACGAAGAGCAAAAGCAGCTCTTCGCATGGTGGTTGGGAGTTCAAGAAGACAGAGGTAGTGATGATAATCATAGTTGCGGACTTGTTGTACACAGTATGACAAGGCTGACTTTAAGCTGCTAGATGTGGTAGCACCATTCATTCAAGCTTGATGATCTTTATCAGCTGGAAGCATGTAATTTGATTAGATTCAAGTAGTAATCTCAAATGCACAAATGATATAGATTAGATTTGGAAAGAAGGATAGAGTGGCTGATAGTTCTGATATTACAAGATCGCTAAAGATACCAGGTATTTAAAACCCTAAACCCCCAAATTCATAAACCTCTTCGAATCACAGCTCTAAAATACAATTGCTAACACGACGCACGTGTGAATAGATGAATCAGATGGAGGATGATTAAAAGTATACCTGATAAGTAATCAGTGATAGAGATAACCGGAAGTGCACGGTGGTTACCGGTGATGATTCACACGCCGCCGAGATATGTTAAAAAGTTCAAAGGGCATGTGAGCCGTGCGGTGGCCGAACGACCCTAAATTGGTCCGCCACGTCGTTAAAGAACAGTTACGTTCGAATCCCTTCAGGTTTTGAATATATGCACTTGAACCCTTTAAGTTTGAGATATGTACATTTAAACCTCAACAGTTGCATTTTAGGTTAAAGCGATTCATGTTTATTTTATTTATGACAAAACTGCACAAATGGTCCCTGTATTTAGCTGAAAATTGTCATTTTAGTCCAAAGAAGTTTTGACTAGCACCATAGTTTCAAATTTTTCATTTTGTTGCGAGTTTGGTCCAATTTACTTTGAACTTTTTATAATGACGATATTGCCCTTACCTTTTGGTTTTCCAGTTCTTTTATTTATTTAAATACTTTTCTGATTAAAAGAAAAAAAAATAATAATTCCAACCTCATCCCCCTTCCCATATAAATAACCACCATTACCTCTCGGAAACCACCGACACTATATATATATATATATATATATATATATTGATGAACTCTCTCTCTCCATATGAACATACTCTCTCTCCAGATGAACACACATCCAGATAAACACACAGACAAAAATCAGATATCTAAGAACAAATAGTCTTCCCTCTTCCACCACTAGCGTTCGTCGCCTCCAACGTTCATCCCCCATCTGCCATCACCAAGTTCAACATAGTCTTCCCTCACCCTCCGTTCAAAACTCCAACCATTCGTACCCTCCTTAGCGATCATCATACCAGTAGATTCGGCGGTGTTGGCGAACTAGATGCAGCCGGATGCAGCCCGCCGAGCATGTTTTTTCAGCAAGACAACGTAAATTGAAGGGGAAGGGTGCGATTTTTTCTGGATTTGTTTTGAAGAAGATGATGCGAGGACGGGATGAGGTGGGAGTTTGATGCATCCCAGCCGGAGAAGAGGAGTAGACAACAGTGGTTTGCGGTGGTGGTTCGTTGTATTGCAGAGTTTATCGGAGCAGCCATGTGAAGGAGATGGAAGTTTTATGTTTTTTGGTGAGAAATGAGCATACCCCCCAAAAAAAGTTTATTGAGAGAGAGAGAGAGAGAGAGAGAGAGAGAGAGAGAGAGAGAGAGAGAGAGAGAGAGAGAGAGAGAGAGAGAGAGAGAGATGTATTTTATTTTTAATTGTTTTTTAATTACTATAATAAAAGAAAATTAAAAAATAAAATAATAAAAGCAAATTCGTTGTTATAAAATGTTTCAAAAATTTTAGAGTAAACTCGCAATAAATTGAAAATGTTGGACTTCTGGTGTGTAAAATCGATCTTGGTTATTGCATGTCTTTGATAAATTTTTAGTTTTAGTTTGCAAAATTGATTTTTTTTTCTTTTGGTCTTGGTTTGTAAAACCAATATGCATTTTTTTGCTTTCTATCGATGATGGTGCATAGTGGTGGTCTATAGTGGTGAACAATGATAATGGTTTAATGTTGTTCAAAACATAAGAACGAGTTGAATGCTTCACATAAATTTATAAATTCTTAAATTAAATAATAATAATAAACTAATATTTAATAAATAATGATTAGTTTTGGGGATAATGACTTAAAAGGGTAATATATTTTTTGATTTGTACACATTTAGTCACTGACTTTTTTTCGTCCACATTTACCCCTTCAACTTGTTAAACTGTACACATTTAGTCTTTATGACCGGCTACTCCAGGTTAGCCTGTAAAAATGACTTAATAGGGTAATATATTTCTCACTTTGTACACATTTAGTCTTTAATATTTTTATACACATTTAGTCCTTAATATTTTGTACACATTTAGTCCTTAATATTTTTTGTCACACCCCCGAACCAGACGGCGGAAACGTCCGGGGGCTCGTGCGACTAATAATTGAATTATCATCACAATGAATATATATGAAACATAACACATTCATCCCAACATTACATATAACAACCAACATTGTTCACATCAAGTACATTGTTATAAATTACATAAGTTCAAAGTATTAATAGTACACTGAGTGATGTTACACAAAATAAATCCATACATACTTAAAAATCTTCCTGCTTAACGATTACCTGATAATACAAGTTATTTTGAAAATGGTCAACATATATAATGTTGGTGAGTTCATAAGTATGTTTGGATAAAAGTCTTTGTATCTTTCGTAAAAACCCAGAAAATCCGATATTTTCTGTAAGATGTCTGAAAATGATGTGAAAATCAAGTATAGATGCATGTGTGAATTCCATAGTGGTAACATATATGACTGTAGTTTAGATTACTTTGTATTGTAGGTATGTGATAATTGAGTATTAATCTTTCCCCAGAAAATCCGATATTTTCTGATTTATAATAATGTCGAGGTTCCTGTATCGCTATATAAATTGTTTTGTATTGACACAATCGAAGGTTTAATCTCCGAAGTATAAATTTTGGTATTGAATCTCAACATGAGCCGTTATAACCATACATGATAATGACTAGGTTGCCTGTCTTGGCATTTTTCCAAATGCCGGTATTGCTCAAGGTTTTGTCGCCCTAGACTGGCCTAATCTAGCTGTAGCGAACAGCTAAGGCGTGGGGGGTCACCCCGTATAGATCTATACACAAACTCTCGCTCTCCCTCCAGGAGACTCTGATTATAACTACAAGCTACGATTGTACACTCAAAGGTGCCAACCGACACGTCTCACTAGATTCTCAACCTTTCGTACTATGTTTAATGTTTACGTGTATGTTGTACGTTATCAAATCCAAAGGTACATGTATAAGTATACGAAGTTCAATAATTATGTGAAGGTATAATTACGATCTACTAATCATGTAAATTTCTGTCCAAGCCCAATTAGCATGTAAATGGATCACAAAGGCCCAATAACATGTAAGTGGGTAATTTGGGCCCAATAGGCATGTAAATGGACCACAAAGGCCCAACAAACATGTGACACATAATCCAGGCCCAAATTAACATGTAAATGAGTCGCATGGCCCAATAAACATGTCATGGAAATTATTGGGCTCAATATACACTTGAATGGGCCCTTAAGGCCCATTGGTCATGTAACGTGAATATTAGGCCCAATAAAATTGTTATCGATGTATTTCACTCATTTGTTATTATTTCGTTGATTGTTTTAGTTCGAGGTTTACCGAATTGAATATAAAAAGTCCTCTTTTTGTAAAAACGACGTTCTTGGCCAATAAGCCTCAAAATTTTCAATTAAGGCCCAAAGTTTTGTAAAAATAACTATTTAGTCCATAATTTATAAAAATTTGTAATTTCGTCCCCAAATGTTTAGAAATTCACGGATTTAATCCAAAAACTTATATTTTGACATTTATGGCCCATTTTTGCAGAAAATTACCTTTTCAGCCCTTTGTTTGTAAAATTTGACACTTTCGGCCCAATTTTGATAAAAGTTACATTTTTGATCCAATTTAGAAATAAATGTTATTTTCACCCCTAAATTTGGTTTATTTACATTTATAACTCAAACTTTGGTCAAATAACATTTTTAATCCCAAAACTTCCTATTTTCACAATTATGGGCCCAAAACCGTGAGGCCCAAACATTTGGCCCATTAAGCTAAAATTTACATTTTTGGTCCTTTGGAAAGCATGTTTATCATAAAAATCCATTTTTATACTAGTAGGACCTGTTTGGTCCTTTAAAAACCGTAAATATCACTTTTTGCCCTTATCTTTTGTTTTCTTGACAATTTTGACCCTTAACAAAGTTTTTGCCTTAGATTTTTATATCTTAAACATATAACACTTTTAACTTGGTGATATGATGTATAAGGTGTCTTAGTTCATGGATCTTAACTCAATGTTATTTAAGATGTCGAGATTTGCTAAGATCTAACACATTTTTACAAAATAAGCTAAGAAATCACACAAGACATGCATATAACACATAGATCTACACATTTTACTTGTATTCTCCCCCAAAAATCATGTAAAAACCAAAAACAAGGGGGTATGAACTCACCTTTGCTTTGATGTTTCGGTTTTGAAGAAGAGATGAAGAGATTTTTGGTCCTAGCAACACCGTGAAGTAGTTTTCGAGCTTATGAAGTTTCTAAGGTGTGATCATGGAATAAAGTTATGTAAGAAGGAGTTTTTTATATTAAAATGAAAGGAGATGTTTGTGTTTGATAATAACTTACCAAAGATTGGAAATACTTGATGAAGATCCTTAGAACTCTAGCAAAAATTTCGAGATCTTGGAGGAAGAAGGATGATCTTTGAGAGTGTTTGGAGAGGATTTGGAAGAGTGTGTGTGTGTGTGTGTGTTTAGCTCTCGGCCAAGAGATAAAGAGAAGAGATTGTGATAAGTTTGCATGGAAACATGAGATGAATTAGTTGTTTGAGGTGTAATATACTTAACTGTCCATTAAATAAAAATGAGGTGGCACCACCAACGTCAACCCTCATTTCATCCCTCTTTTTTTTACTCATGGGCCGAGAATTGCATTAAGAAGAAGAATATGATTCATTTTGGCCCAAATCTTGATCCTTACTCGAAATCACGAGGCCTATAGAGAAGTTTTCGGCCCATTGGGGCTTTAGGGTAGTTCACGGCCCAAAATGTCATAAAAGAATGGATTTATGGCTTACTAGGTTTAATTGGATTTGCTATGGCCCAATAAGGCCCATTAGGGTTA